AAGTGCCAGGCCCTTGAACTCTGGTAGTAGACTTTCAAGATGGGTGTCAGGATCCTCATGTCACAGATGGAGAAGCTGGAGTTCAGGACATTGTAAGGACTCACCCACTACCAGTATGAGAAAGCTGAGGCCGGAACCCCATTGCTCTGACCCCAAACTTAGGTTCTTTCTAGGGCCTTGCAGCCAGTAATGTCCACCCTCTGTGGGAAGACGCTGCCTTGACCTCCACCTTGACCTCCACCCTGAACCCAGGGATCTGAAAAGCCCCTTATATGCGTGTATACGTGTACGTGTTCACTGAACACTGTTTAAAAGCGTTTGTAAAGAAAGGAACAAGGGGCGCCTGGGCGGCACAGTCAGTTCAACATCTGACTCTTGCTTTCCGCTCAAGCCATGATCTCAGGGTCCTGGGATCCAGCCTTGCGTCAGCCTCCGTACTGGGTGTGAAGTCAGCTTGGGATTCTCCTTCTCCCCCTACCCTTCCCACTTGCGTGCTCGCTCTCTCTCTCTCTCTAAAATAAATAAAATCAGGGATCCCTGGGTGGCGCAGTGGTTTGGCGCCTGCCTTTGGCCCAGGGCGCGATCCTGGAGACCCGGGGTCGAATCCCACATCGGGCTCCCGGTGCATGGAGCCTGCTTCTCCCTCTGCCTGTGTCTCTGCCTCTCTCTCTCTCTCTCTCTCTCTCTCTGTGACTATCGTAAATAAATAAATAAATAAATAAATAAATAAATAAATAAATAAATAAAATCAAGAAAGAAAAAGAGAGAGAGGGAGGGAGGGAGGGAGGAAGGAAGGAAGGAAGGAAGGAAGGAAGGAAGGAAGGAAGGAAGGAAGGAAGGGAGGGAGGGGGTCGCCAGCAGTTTCTGGTTGTAAGAAAATAACAAAACCATACAGGGAATTGTCATCTTGTGTTCTTGAAAACACATTTGAATAGCTCAGTGTGATTTGTGATTCAAATGGAAATGCAGATGTTATCAACTGAGCCTTTGTGTGGTTCCCTAAGGGTCCCCCGTGTTTTTCCTGCCTTCTTTCTAAACTAAAAGAAAGGTTCTGTCCTGAGCTTGCCTCTGGCACGAAAGCAGACCCCCTGGACTGAGGGGGGGGAGCGCAGGGCTGCATTTCAGGAGCAGATCTGAGCTGAGCAGACTCCAGCTGCAGCATTGCAAGCAGAGCCCCATGCGCCTTTGCTCCTCACGTGCTGTGTGTCACGAAGCAAACCACCATCCCTCTCTGGACTTTGCTTTCCTCTTCTAAAACGACAGTGATTTTCAAAGTTCCCCTCCCCAACTCATTGTCAATGAGGACGATAGGTCCACATTCAAAACCCAACTCTGACGGATCCTAGCTGTATGTCCTGGGGCAAGTCACCTTACCTCTCGAAGGCTCTATTCCTTCATCAAGAGTTAGCAGCCAATACCTGTCAAAGAACCGTGTGCACTGAGTTCATCCACAATGTACTAAGGACACACTACGTACGCGTCGGGCATTGTCCATGACCGCCGTCAGGCAGAGGGCATTCCCAGTCACCCCTTCCCTTCACTCACTGACACATCCCAACACAAAAGTGGGGGTATCTCTATTCTCTGAGGAAGAAGGTGGGCACTTCTCAGTTCTCAACCTTTGTCTTAGAGACAAGTCCTGCCCCCAAAGGACCCAGATTTTATAAAGAAACATCTTTCATCTTTATTTAATAAATTCTAGAATGAGGGTCTCTGGGTGGCTTAGTGGTTTAGCGTCTGCCTTCAGCTCAGGTCATGATCCCAGGGTCATGGGATCGAAGTCCCGCTTCAGACTCCCCGCAGGGAGCCTGCTTCTCCTTCTGCCTGTGTCTCTGCCTCCCTCTCTGTGTCTCTCTAAAAATAAATTAATAAAAATAAATTCTAGAATGGCCATGAACCCACCCCAGAGGCTTCCCGCCCCACTCTGGATTTGAGAGTCATTGAGAGCTGGAGTCTTGGCGTTGGTGATCGGGTGACTGAGGGAGAGGGTGAGGCCCAGGAGCTTAGCTGGGTGCCCTGGGAAGGGCAAAGCTCTGACCACCCACCATGACCCTCGCTCACTGTCCTCCTGCAGGTCAACGGCCACTTGGACTACGCCAAGAAGATGGACGTCATCCTGAAGACTGTGGGCATCCACACCAAGCCGGGCTGGGATGAAAAGGGGCTCCTGCTGGCCCCGGGCAGCCTGCCCCAAGAAGAGGCTCACCAGGCACCCGCCACCTCGTCATCAGAGAAGACCACACCCGGAGACAGCCCCAAAGTGGCCACATCCACTGACCCTACCGGAGCCCAGGTGCCAACAGGGCTGGACCAGGAAGGGGCCTCCCCTCCTGCTGCTGCCAGCCCGGCTAAGAGCCCCCAGATCTGCAGCCATGGCATGGACCCCAACCCACTGGGCTGCCCGGATTGTGCCAGCGAGACCCAGGGGCCCTGCCCCGGGCTGGACTGACCGCAAAGGGGGCTTGAGCTGACTTCCCAGGTTCCTCCACATAGCTCGCTCTTACCCTCCACCAGGTGCCCCACACGAGCTCTGAATTTCCACCTGTGCCTTTCCCAAGTGGAAGGCATTGGGATTGAAAAGAAAGGAACTGGAAGGAGGGGAGTGGCAGAGAGACAGCGTTCCCTCCCCCAGGAAGCCAGGCTGGAGCCCTGCAGAGACAACCAAGCACAGTCTAGAGCTCCAGGACTCTACCAGCCTTGGGCTTCCCATATTTCGGGCCGCAGGTGTAGGGACTGGCTGACCACCTGGGGGCCCAGGGGGCTCCCACGCCACCACTCTCCCCTGGTCCCAGTAAATCCAGGTGAACGCCTGCTCTTCCATCCACATGCCAGGCTGCCCGCCAGCCCCCAGGCATCACTGATACACCTACAGAGCAGGTGCAGGTGAGAAGCCAGCCGCTCACTCTCTGCTCTTGGGAGGCACGATCAGATGTGCCTTGTGCGGCCACTCAGGCTGTGCACTGCAGAACTACTGGGGTGTGGGTCACAAGGATGTGATGTGAAGGGTGCCCCCGCCCTTGTTGTGCTACGTGGTGGCCCTGGATGTAACTGTCACAGCGTGGTGAATATATGCTGAATCAGCGTGCACTGTGCATGGGATCGGGCCCGGTGACAAGAATGAATTCCACGGGGCAAGGGTTTCCTACAGCAGGGAGGGGAGCGATGATTATAATAATAAAAATAATCATAGAGAATTTACCACTCCTTGAGAATTTACCAAGGACAGAGTGCTTACCTGGGTTGCCTCGGCTGACCTACCAATAACCTTAGGAGATAGCTACTATTATTACCTTCATGTTACTGAAGGTCCTTGAGACCCAGAGAGGTTAGGTAGCCTGCTCAAGGTCACACAGCTCGTCAGTCTCAAACTCCACTCAGGCTCCAGAGCCTGAACTCTTGGCCACTGTATCTCGGCCTCCTGTGTTCCTTCCAGTGTCCCTGAATGAGGGGGCCAGAGACGGTTCTCCTCCATTGTGCAGATGGGAAAACCAAGGCTCGGGCAGAGAAAGTATCGATAAGCTCTGGGGGAGGCAGCCCAGAGGGGGACAGCAGAAGGAACTAGGATATTAGAGCTGAGGGGATCCTCACGTATGCGCGCTTGCTTGTTCATTCAACAAATATTTACAGAATGGCTGCTAGGAGTTCAGACGGCTCATTTTGCCCAAGGTCTCATCCCACTTCACCAAATGCTTCTCCAACCGCAGGGGCCCCTCAAGTGAATCCAGTCCACACCACGGTCACCGCCTCAGGTAGTGTTTATTCGGAGTCCACTCAGGCAGGGCTGGGGGCAGAGGGGGAGCCCCAACAAGCACCATGACCCCTCTGTGGCCAGTGCCCAGGGCCAGAGTTGAATCGAATCAGCACCAAGGAGAGCGCCAGGCCACTGTGGAGGGCTCCCTGGGAGTTTGGCCTAATGGGGCCTCAGAATGAAAAGGGCCGCACGGCAGGTAAACTGTGGGGACCAAGAGATTTTTTCCCCCGCCCTCAAAAACAACCCAGGCCCCTGTACCAGGGTCCACCGAGCTGCCTGAGGGCAGCGACCCACACCAGAAACCGCTCTGCTGACCCAAGTGGCTGCCACTTCTATTTCCCTGGCTGACCAGGGATGCCAGGAGGCAGTGGGGCCATGGGCTGGTCTATCCCCATCAGCTGGTTCCCTTCCACGTCCAAGGAAGTCCAGGGTGGAGGGAAAGCTGTTCCTGGTGTTGAGCAAGAAACCACCAGCTCCCTCTTTGCCCCCAGGAGTCATGGTGGAGCAGCCTGGGAGTGGGGATGGGAACCCCACTCGGCATCCAGAGCAAAGAGTTGGGGAGCCATGGTCAGTCAGGTGGTGGGATGTGGACCAGGGCTGAAGGGGAGGAGGGAGATGGGAAAACACTGGGAACAAACAGCCCCTCCGGGCCCACAGCGAGAGGCCAGGGGGTGCTGGATGACCAGGAGTTGTACCAACAGCAAGTACCACCTACAGCAGCACCACCCATGGGGACTGGGTACTCTACACATGTTCTCCTAATTCTCATGACACCCTATGAGGCAGGCATTGTTACCCCACTTTGTACATGGAATACCAGGCTCTGAAAGGCTAAGGAACCTTTCTGTCCAAGAGCTAGTGAGTAATGGAGCAGAGATTCAAATTTAGGCCTTCCTGACTCCCAGGGCAGGTGTTTTTCTGTGCAGCCCCACACACATCTGGGGCAGTGGCCAGACCGAAAACCAGCAAATCATCCTCACAGTTAGATCATCCAAGCCAGCGCATCCCAAACTATAATGTGCACACATGTCACCTGGAGCTCCTGCTAACGTGCAGATTCTAACTCGGTCTTGGGTGGGGGTAGGTAGAGGCGTACATTTTTAACAAACTGCAGGGAGGTGACACTAATGCTGGCAGCCCCCGGAGGAGTGAGGGATTCAGCCCAACACTAATCTACCTCTGCAGATAGAGGCATCCCTCCCCTGCAGTCTCATCAAATGTCAAAGCAGATAATTGCCTTCACCCTAACTTGAACCGAGAGGTCCTTTTCCCCTCTGCCAGAGCCCTCCAGCCACCTCCACACACACCCACAGGTCACACTCAGCAAGAGCATCCTGGAGAAAATTTTATCTGAGCCAGCTGTTTTCCCAGTGGGCGGGCAGTGGGGGCTGGGTCAGTGCACCCCACTGGAACTCAGAGGGCTCCCAGGAGACCTGCAGCCTCCCAGCCTTAGCCAAGAGCTGGTCCAAGGCCTTTGGGGACTTCATCCCATCTAGTCCAGCGCTCCACTGACCAGCTCCAAGCCCGTGTCAGTTCGTGGGAGCGCCAAGTGGGTGCAGCTGCAGCTGGGGCTCGACAGGATCGATGTTGAAGAAATTGACTACAGCTGCAACCCTGGTGGAGGGCGGGGGCTCCCGGGGGGCCTCTCTAGGCAGCAGGGGCTGGGCCGTGCGCTGCTGGCCTGAGGAGCCACCGGAACCCGAGCCTGAGTCAGAATTGGAGTCAGGTGGCAGAGGCAGTGGCAACACATGCTGCAGGCTCAGGCCTGGCCGGGGGCCGCTGTGAGAGGTTCGCATAGAGGGTGAGGCAAGGCTGGCCCGGCGCTCCCTGGGGCAGTGGGGACATGGCAAGAACCTGCCCAGGGCCCGTTTGAAGTCCCGCATGAAGAGTGGGTAGATGATGGGGTTCATGGTGCTGTTACAGTAACCCAGCCACGTGAGCACATCGAAGAGGTCTGGGGAGATGCAGTCGCACACAGCCTGGAGAGATGGGGTACGTCATGCTCGGCCCCGGAGCAGAGCCACAGACCACCCCAGCCAGCACGGATGGGACAGGCACCCACAAACACATATGCCATGAGAGGCAGCCCGCCCTCCTCTATCCCCGTGTCCACGCTGGGGTGCATTTCGGGGCCTCCCCCAGCAAGGCCTGGACTCACCAGCCCCCTGTGGTGGCATTACCTGGACTATGTTGGCCACAAAGAAGGGCAACCAGGTCACAAAGAACATGCCCAACAGGATGCCCAGTGTGAGACTGGCCTTCAAGGCCTTCCTGCTGTGCTTGGTGGCCAGACGCCTGCTATCGGCTGACTCCATCCCTGGGCGTGGGGTCCTGGGCACCTGTCAAACACAAGGCCACACACATAAGTCACCTGAGAAAGAGCCCCAGTCTGACCCTGATCCCAGCCACAGACTGAGCCTCGATCTTCATTCTACACGGAGCCTTAGTCCCAGCAATAAACCGAGTCCTCCTGAGCCTTGACTGAGCCCCATCTGTAGTCCTAGATCCCAACAGTAGACCTGACCTGGACTCCAGAGTAAACCTTGATCTAGACCAAGCGCTGACATCAGCAATAAGCCAAGCCCCTGCTCACGGTCCCAGACTGAGCCTGAGAATTACCGTAGATTGAGACCCACACAACCAAGGTCTCAAATGGAGCCTTAACCCTGGACCAGACTGAGCCCAACCTTAGCCCCAGACTGTGGCCTGAGCTCAGCAATAGACTGAGCCCTGATCCTGACACAAGGAGCTCTAGGAAGGGCAGAGAGACAGAGCAACACTATCAGACAATTCAGAAGACCCCCCCCCACCGCCACCACCACCCACCTCACAAAGGACAACACTCAGTACCAGTCAACACACATGACCATGAGCCCCAGCACCACACAAAGCCTTTAGCCCTCCAAGAATTAGTTGCTATTAAACAGTACTTGACAAAAGAGGTCCTGCTGCTGCCCAGAGCATGACGGTCTCTTCATATATGCATTCTCCTCATATTTGGGAGTAATGATTTTGCCTGGACCGCTACCCTCATGCTACACAAAATACAGTGCTTTTCTGAAAACATGTGCATAGAGTAAATGTTTGCAATGAAGTCAATTTTAGACTACTAAGGGTGCTAGTGACCTTGGCATTTGACAACTCAAATTACACTGTGGACAGACAGACATCTTCATTCCCAAACGTTAACCTCAAGAGCTGGAGTGTGGGGCAGAAAAGAAGGAGAAGGGAGCTGCCCTGCAGCAGCCATCGAAAGGGACACAGGCATGAGGGGGTTAGAATTTGACTTTGCAAACTGGCGACCAGCAGTCCCAAAACATTAAAAAGCTCTGAACCAGACAATCCTTTAGCCCAGCTGTTCTCTTAACTTTTTCAACCTCCTGAGCTCACTGAGAAGCCATGAAATCTATTTTTTAAAATTTCCCCAGAGAACAAAAAGCTTATAAATTTGTACACATGCACACACAGAGAAGAAAACATCCCACATTTCCAGCAGGTTCCGAGACCACCCGTGAGGTCCAGCCACGAAGCCCCCCTCTAAACAGTGTGTTGTAATCAATTTGGAGTTTCGTACATCGGTGTTACACAAAGTGAGACCCACCCACATTTACAATTTAAGTAAATACCAGTGTGCCGAGGTGTGCACAGTTGACTGAACTGTGTAAGGTTTTCGTGTGCTCCCTGGGAACACACCTGGCCTTTGGGAGCAAGGGCTTCCTCCAACTTTTTTTTTCCTTTTCTTTTTTAAGATTTTATTTTTATAAAGTAATCTTTAAAAAAAAATTTATAATCTCTACACCCACCGTGGGGCTTGAACTCATAGCCCCAAGATCAAGAGTCACATGCTCCTCTGACTGAGCCAGCCAGGCACCCCTCTTCCAATGTTTCCTAAACTGCAGGAGAGCCCAGCTGAGCTCTTGAGGAAGCCAGAGGTGGGCTGAGTGAGTATAGGGTAATTGGAAGAGTTAGAAGGAGGCAGGAAGGGAACCAGATTCCCAGGCAACCCTCGCAGATGGAAAGGGGGCGGAGGAGGCAAAGCCAAGAAGATGTGTCAGTCCCAGGGAGCACCAAAGCCAAACCCCCACCGGGCTCTCAGGCGCAGGGGCTCCCTTCCAGCCCTGTTCTTCCCGCCTCCTCCGGGTGGCCAGGCTTGGGGTCCTGTCCATGGTGCTGAAACCCCAGGTCTACACTGTCTTCTATGGGATGGAGGGGCCGGAGTCCAGAACGGCGGTGGGCAGGAGGGGAGAGAGGAAGCACACTCCCACCCCCTCAGTATGTGGGTCCAGGTGAAATCTGGTTATATGAATGCCAAGGACAAATTCACAAAGAGCAGCCTAAGAGAAGCCCTTGATTTCCCCTCCTCTGTCTTGGTGGGGCAGCCTTGTGCGGAGGCCAGAGCTGGACTTGTAAAGGCAAGTGATCTGGCTTCAAGTCATGCCTCTACCACTTACTCGCTCTGTGATCTTGAGACAGTCTCTGTTTCCACATCTGTAAAATGGGAAAAACAATACTCAGCTTGTGGAGTTGTAGCGAGGCTGTGGATAATAAATGCATGCACAGCACCTGACACAGAGTATGTGCTACATACATGGTAGCCTTGATGTTGGTTCAAGTGGAGTTGGAGGCTGGGGAAATTTTGAGCACCCTCAGGGGCCCTGTCCTTCTGCCAGCAGCTCAGGCTCCCCAAGCAGCCTGACAGATGTCAGGACAAATGCTCTGACTCACCATGCTGTAGCAAGGGAGGGGGAAAGGCTCTGCTTTTGTCTTTCGTCTTCTCCTTTTCTCCCTTCCAGAGTAGACTCTATGTGGCTTCTGTGGCCCCACCATGGTCAGCTTGGAGGAGAGGCTCCTGCTTCCTCCAAAGATCTGTCATACCTTCATATTGCTGCCATCACAGACAGTAGGGAAGGAGGGAGCCACCACCTCCAGAGGGGCCACCCACACAGATACCCCCCTGACCTCTGGTAACCTGTGGGGGTTGGGGGAGCAAGAGACAGCCCTGATCTTATCAGAGCTCTATGACACTGGGGAACTGAGACACTGGAGAAATATTTGGGTGGGAGGCAATCACTGGGATGGGAGTTCCAGCGAAGGAATTAAACATGGCCTCGGATTCCCTCTCTAGGAATCTTCCTGGGAAAATCCTGGGTTTTCTTTCTCTTCTTCTCCCTAAAGAGTTGACCCAAGAATACAGGACAAAAGGAAGAGAGAAGGAAACCAAGGCTCAGAGAGGATAGAGGACCTTGCCCAGTTCACACCGTCCCAGTACAAGGCCTCAAAGCAAAGCACCCCAAGTGACCCCAATCAGCACCATCGTCTGCATTTAGGGAACAGTTACTACATGTCAGCATCTGATATTCGTCATGCCATTAAGTCTTTTCATGGGGTAGGTATTATTCTCCCCCTTTTGCCAGTGAGGTCCAGAGAGGCAAAAGAACTTGCCAGAAGTCACACAGCAGATAAGTGTTAAGTCAGGCATTCAGAGTCATTTCTAACTCCAGAAATTGCATTTCTTCCACTTCATCACACTGCCTCCATGGTGGGGGGGGAGGTTATAGAAATCCCCACCTCTGTCACCAAGAGGCCCTCATGGAGCAGAGGTCAGTGGCAGTCCCCAGCCTCACCCTGAGATCTAGCTGACGCCAGCCTCACCCTGCCCACTTCCCTCTGCCCTCATCGCCACATCCTGGCATTTGTGTGCCCCTTATACATGCATGTGTCGCCATCAAGGGCAGCCTCCTGGAAGACAGTCTGGCAGTGTCCTTCCAGGAGGCAGCTCCACCACTTACAGGTTCCTACGTTCAATAAATACCCATGCACATCTGCACGCTCGGCATATATGGAAATGTGTATTACAACACTATTCCTGGAAAAAACTGGAAACAGCCTAAACGTGCATGGAAGGATGGTGGTTAAACAAACCATGGTAGATTCCCACCGTAGAGTATGACACAGATGTTTAAAAGAATATAATTGGCCGGGGATCCGTGGGTGGTTTAGCGCCTGCCTTCAACTCAGGGCATGGTCCTGAAGTCCCGGGATTGAGTCCCATGTTGGGCTCCCTGCATGGAGCCTGCTTCTCCCTCTGACTGTGTCTCTGCCTCTCTGTGTGTGTGTGTGTCTTCTGAATAAATAAATAAAATCTTTAAAAAAAGAGAATATAATTGGCCAAATGAAAAGATCTCCAAGAGATAATATCAAAATTAAGTAGTAATGGCAAGTTGCAAAATAATTGATACAACAGGACTCCATTTGCTTAAAAAATACATGAAACAAAGAGCATTAAGTCCCTTCAGGTGCATAAGCAAACATGGAAACGCAAAGAAAAAGGAGTGGAAAGACATATCCTAAATCGTTAAGAGTGTCCCTGGGAACAGAAGGTGACTGGGTGGGATTTAGGAGGGTCTTTCACTTTATCTCTCTGGCTGGATTTTTTTTTATTGCTTTTTCTAAGTAGGCTCTACATCCAATGTGGGGCTTGAACTCACGACCCCAGGATCAAGAGTCAAATGCCCTACCGAATGGGCCAGCCAGGCACCCCCTGGATTTTTATTTTAAAGTGTATTTATGTATTCTTTTGTGTAATTCAAAAATTGTCCCGATCATCTACTCGTAGTGCGAGGCTACAGACTCTGGAGCCAGACTGGTTTCAAACCGTGGCTCTATTGCTGCCTAGCTGCGTGACCTCAAGCGAAGAGATTCACCTCCCTGTGCCTCAGCTGTCCCATCTGTAAAATGGCAATTTTACAGTGGCATCTGCCTCATAGGCTTGTGGTAAGGACTAACTAAGGTAATAGGCACAAAGTCACCTGACCAGGGCCTGGCACACAGGAGGCCCCGTGTAAGAGTCAGCCGGCATTTCCATTATTAGGGTCCAGCTCAGCTCTTTGATTATGACGATGACACTGTTATTGGCAGCCTTCGTGGGCTTTTTCCCTAGAGAGGCTCAAAACGGATGATTTCTCCAGAACCACACATCTTACCACCAAGAGGAAAGGGGCGGAACTAACACTTGTTGAGCACCCAGTAGGTGCCAGGCTTACAGATGTTATCCCACCGACTCTTCAAACAGCCTCATGTGATAAGCGGCATTACCCCTGGGCTAGTGGGAGTCGAATGACTTGCCCAACATCATCAGCAGCGATGGAAAGAAGGCAGGATTTGAACCCCTGACCGGCTGGAAGCCCAAGCTCCTGCACCCAGCTCTGCTGCTCCAGGCCACCGTGTTCCCCGCAGCAGCCGAGGCTGCCATGCTCGGCACTGCTCCTGTCAGCCTCTCCCCAGCTCAGCCCCCTCCTCCTCCTCCGAGATATTTCTGTGATCACAGCCTCCTCTGAGGAGGAGGAAGGACAGCGGTGGAAGGGGAGACAGATCGCTTAGACAAAGTGATGCAGAGTTGGGTGAGGGAGGGTGGAGAAGGCTGGCGGAGGAGGAGAAGGGGAGAAACTGATGGGAGAGGGGGTGCGAGGAAGATGGGGGGATGGGGAAGGCAGGGAAGGCGGCGAGAAGGACCTGGAAGAGAAAGGGGTGGGAGCAGGTAAGAGCAGGACAGCAGGGAAAGGGCTCCGGACCGAAGGCACAGGTCATGGCACACGGACCAAGAGGCTGGGGAGGGACACTCCCTGGCAGATTCCTTCTCCCCTGCCGCCCTCCACCCCGGAGCTCCCACCCTGGTCCCTCCCGAGGATGAGCACCGTGCCACCCTGGCACACAGCTCTGTCTGCCTCTCTCTCCCTCTGCCCCTACCCTGGCCACATGATCTCACTCACTCCGAAACTGCTCTCCCCACGCCCTCTCGTCTTCCCCAGTCTCTGCCTGGGCCGGAAGCAAGACCCCCTACCTCATAGTCGAGGGGCCAGGAAAGCTGGGCCGAAACCGCTGAGCTAACCAGTGGCTTCTGAAAAGCCTGTCCACATACTTACGTAGATATGGGGGTTGGGGGGACCGACTAAAATGCTCGTGCCTGCTCAGTCACTGTGTCCTCAGACCCAGAGGAGCTGGGGCCTCAGGACCCTGGGTCCCCCTTTCCCTCCACCCTCCGTGGGGAAGTTAGCAGCTGGATTGGGGAAGGGAGCCAAGGGCGAGGTCGGGCTGGCAACAGGAGGAAGGAGAGCAATGCACCCCAAGTTTTGTTCATCCTCATCAGTTCCTTTAGGTCCAGGCACTGCGAGCCTCCACTGCCCAGCTGGAAGCCCGGTCTCAGGGGCAGGCCAGCTTGAGTGGGAGGGAAGAGGTCGTGACCCAGGAAGATGGAGTCTATATCCCAGAAACAAATTCCACAAATGCAGGCAGTTGTGCAGACAATAAGGAAAAGAGGCATGCAGGAGGCTTGCTTAGCAGCTGGGTCTGACACTTCCCATCTCTCTCTCTCTCTCTGAACCGCAGGCCCCCCATCTCTCAAACAGGGATGATGGTAGTCCTTGCCTGGGTGGGTGTTTGGAGGACTTGGCTCGGGGCCTGGCACACAGTGAGCACTCAGAGACTGTGGGGCTGCAGCTGTCAGCACCCCTGGGCTCCTGCCCACATCTGAGGCCACAGTCTCACATTCATCCTGGTACCAGCCACTTACCCTCATGGACAGAAAAGTGCATCATGGGGGACAGAAAATCCAGACCTGTCCCACCCCGGCCCCACCAAGACCAGTCACCTTCTCACATCCTTAATCCCTAGAGCGAGCTCCCCAATGCGCAGAAGTGGAAGATGACCTGAAGTGGTAAATGGACCCATAAAATAACTGAATGCTAGAGTGAGAACATTGGCCTTTTCCAGCACTCTTCCAGCTCTTCTGGTTGTGTCAAGAGAAAGTTGGTGTTGATGCTGCTACGTCTTTAACATCCGCTAGCACCAAAGAGGAAGCGATCCTGGGGCTGGGCCACTACAACCATGACCGTGAAGCCACTGCCAGGGTAACTGCCGCTCACTGAGGCTGTCTTTGTGGCGGCCTTCTGTTTATGGCAAAAGTTTCCATTTCCGGAAGAGATAAGTTTCCTTTCTAAACAAATGCATGGAAGTAAAAAGATAAGTGAGGTGATGGAGAGAAAATGCAAAAAACAGGAGAAGGAAGCCACCTGAGGCGTGTGGGTAGGTGGAAAGAAGGCAGATAGATAGTCCAAGGTGGTTCCAGATGTCTCAAGTTTGGGAACCACTCCTTTGAAAGAACCCAGAGAGAGAGTGTGGATGGCCCAGGGCAACCTTCCCACTGCTGGGGAACCAAGTCAGGGTCACAGCCACCTACTGCGATTCTGGAACATTCTCCAGTGAGCACAGACAGAGGGAGGGTGTAGGACTGTAGCCAGGACCTCCTGTCCACCCCAAGGCCTGTTTACCTGGTTGATGGGGAGGCTGCAGCTCCGGGCCACATGGACCAGAGGGACTGCATTTCAGCTCCCATCCACCCCAAACCCCCAGGCACCCACCCATCCCATAGGGGCCTCCTCCTGGGGCTACATCAAGATTGGAGAGCCCAGTCTCAGGGCCTATGACCTCATCCTTTGGGGCTCAGGCCTGGTCAGCCATTTCTTGGGGATTAGGACAATAGACACTAAGACTGTGATGCCTTATGGCCTAAGTGACAGGAGCAGCACTGCGGGGCCTTACCACTAATTACTAAGTAATTAGTAAGCACCTAGTGTGTACAGTGGCGATGAAAACCGCCCCAGACGTGCCCACCCTACAATCTAGTGGAGGAGATAGACAATGAACGAGTCAACAAGTAAACCCATTGTTAAGATAGAGAATAACAGGGTAAGGGAGTACAGATGGGTCTGCAGACAGGGTGGACAGGGACACACTCTAGGAAGAGGTGACCCATGAGCTGAAAAAGAGTCAGGCAAGGCAGCCCCAAGGGAAGAGCGGTCCAGGCAGAGGGAACAGCGATGCAAAGTCCTGGACACAGGAGTCAGTCTGATGCCTTCCAGGAACACCAGAAGGGCCACGTGGCTGGTGCAGAAGGAAGGAGGGCGGGGGGAGGAGGTGGAGCTGCAGAGGTTGGCAGGCCCAGATTCCCAGGCCACATCCTGACATGGGAGACGTCTCCTCTTTTAGCTTAAAAGTGACAGGATCACTTTTGTTTTGTCCATTGCTCTGGCTCCTGTGCCCAGAATAGACAGGAGTGTGTCTGCAGTGGAAGCTGGGGAAAGCCCGAAGGAGACTCGTGGGGACTTCCAGGAAAGAAGCAACGGTGGCCTGGTTGACGAGGGGCGGCCCTGGAGGTGGTACACGTTTAGGAGGACCGCACCAACCGGCCTTGATAATGAACCCCGTGAGCATGAAGGGAGAAAAATGATTCCTACGTTTCTGTGGGGTAACGCGGTGATGGTGCCATTTGCCATGATGGGAAAGGCGGGGGAGGCGGAGGTGGGGTGGGTTGGGAATTCCCCTGGCCCGCCTTACCTTCTGGAAGCTGCCCCACATGCCCACGGCGCTGTCCTGCAGACAGCCCTGAGTCTAGAGCGCCCAAGAGGGCTGCGTGCTGGAAATGGGCACCCAGGGGTCACCAGCCAGCGTATATATGGTGAGATGCATGCGGGGCAGGCCCCCCACGGCTGCTCTTTCCTCTCCACCCCAGCCCGGGCCTCCCCGTGCGCCCCAGGTACCTGCAGCGTCTCCAAGGCCTGGCCGGCCGTGCCCGTGGTGAGGGAGGCCACCTGCACCGCCTGCTTGCGCGCGGCCAGCAGGATCCTGCAGTAGGTGTAGCAGATGGCGCCGGAGGGCAGGAAGAAGGTGAGGCCCGACGCCACGAGGACGAAGGGCAGGCTGGCCAGCAGGCGGCACTGGCCCGGGGCAGGGGCCCGCGCGCGGCCCAGCTGGTGCCAGCCCAGCAGCAGCGGCAGGAAGGAAGCGAGCGCCGCCAGGCTCCAGGCGCCCAGGACGAGCCCCAGGGCGCGCGGGGGCGTCATGCGCAGCTTGTAGCTCAGCGGCGAGAGGATGAGCAGGTAACGGTCCAGGCTGATGAGGCACAGGTTGAGGATGGAGGCGCTGCAGCACATGACGTCGAAGGCGGCCCAGAGCAGGCACAGGCCGCGCGCCAGCACCCAGCGCCCGTACAGCGCGTTCAGCATGGCCGGGGGCATCACCACCAGCCCCACCATCAGGTCCGACGTGAAGAGCGACACCAGGAAGAAGTTGGACGTGTTGCGCAGCGCCGGCTGCGTGCAGATGAGCGCGATGAGCAGCGAGTTGGCCGCCGCCGTCAGCGCGATGACCACGCACAGCGCGGCCGCCACCCAGCCGCTGCCCGCGGGCCCCGACGGCGGCCCCGAGCCCCAGGCCGGGGTGCTGTTGCTGGCAGGGCCGGGCTCGGGGACCATGGGGGCGGCGGGGGGCGGGGCGCGAGGAGGGCAGGCCCGGGAGGGGTCCGCAGGCCTGGGCGAGGCACCTGGAGGGCGTCGGGTCGGCGGTGCGCGCAGAGCGCCAGCAGGGGTCAGGTGGGAGGCCGGGCCGGGGACAGGGCGCAGGGCGGGGTGGAGGGGCGGCGACCCAAGGAGCACGGAGCGGGGGACACGTAGGGGAGGGGGCGCCTGATGGGGGGCGCAGAGCCCCCGAGGGGGGCGGGGGAGGGGGCGGGGACGCGAGGTGACCCGGAGTGGACAGGTGGGAGCAGAGTCCCCTAGAGGGGGCGAGTGGGGGGAGGGGCGGGGACGCGAGGGGACCCGGAGTGGACAGGTGGGAGCAGAGCCCCGGGGAGGGCCCGGGGACGCGCGGGGACCCGGAGTGGACAGGTGGGAGCAGAGTCCCCTAGAGGGGGCGGGCGGGGGGAGGGGCCGGGGACGCGCGGGGACCCGGAGTGGACAGGTGGGAGCAGAGTCCCCTAGAGGGGGCGGGCGGGGGGAGGGGCGGGGACGCGAGGGGACCCGGAGTGGACAGGTGGGAGCAGAGCCCCGGGGAGGGCCCGGGGACGCGCGGTGACCCGGAGTGGACAGGTGGGCGGGGGGGGGGCCGCTGGGCCGGGGCCGGGCGCTGGATGCAGGGGCCCACCGTGCGCTCGGCCGAGGGCAGCCCCTCCGCGGCAGGTGGGCGCCCCGCGGCGCTCGTCGGGAGCCGCGAGCACTTGGGGCGGCAGGGCGGGGGCCGCGAGCGAAGCCCCGCGTGGGGAAGGCGGGGGTCCGCGCCGCCGCAGAGGCAGCCCGGGCGCGGCGGCCACGGTCCCCTGCGGCGTGCGGGGCGGCCCGGGCGGCCGCGGGCACCGGAGCAGCGGGGGCCGCGCCGCCGCCGCCTCGGGTCCCGGGGCCCGCGCCCTGCGCCCCGCGCCCCGCGCCCCGCGCCCGCCCGCGCTCGGTACCTGCGCTCGGAGCTGCTGCGCTGCCGGCGACCGCGGGGCTGGGGGAGGCAGCGGCGGCCGCGGGCCGGGCGGGCGCCCAGGGAGCCCGGGAGGCGCGCGAGGGGCCGGTGGCGCTTCCAGGGGCGCGCGGTCCCGGAGCCGCCGAGCCTGCGCCCCGCCCCGCGGTGGGCGGGGAGAGCCGAGCCCCCGCCCCGCACCCCGGGGTTCCCCCCCCTGCCCCGCACCCCGGGGGGGCCCCCCCCCCCGCCCGCACACCCCTCTCCGACCTGCCGCGGCCCGTTTTATCGAGGACTGCTGGGGGGGGGGCACCCACCTGCCGCGGGGGGCGCCGCGCTCCGGGGAGCCCCCTGGGAGCCGCTGGGGAGCTCGCTTCACACCCAGGTGTGTACACACACGCACGTGCGACATGTAGATCATACTACACAAAATATATAGTGACCCCCAGAATGCTTCCTTCCAACCTGTAAACAGCTGCTTACCTCCTCCTCCTCCTCGGGGTCCTTTGAGGTTTCTACCCACCGCACCAGGCATTAAGGAGGAAGCCCCTGATTTTTTTTTTTTTAAGATTTTATTTATTCACAAGAGACACACACACACAGAGAGAGAGAGAGAGACAGAGAGGCAGAGACACAGGCAGAGGGAGAAGCAGGCTCCATGCAGGGAGCCCGACGTGGGACTCGATCCCAGGACCCCGTGATCATGCCCTGAGCAGAAAGCAGACACTCAACCACCTGAGCCACCAGGTACCCCGACTTAATCATTTTATAACTGGAATTTTGTACCTTCTGACCACTTTCTCCAATTTTGCCCATTCTCCAAACCCTGCCTCTGGCAACCACCAACCTATTCTGGGCCTATGACTTCGGTTTTGTTTGTTTTAGAATCCATATATAAGGGATCCCTGGGTGGCGCAGCGGTTTGGCACCTGCCTTTGGCCCAGGGCGGGATCCTGGAGACCCGGGATCAAATCCCATGTCAGGCTCCCGGTGCATGGAGCCTGCTTCTCCCTCTGCCTGTGTCTCTGCCTCTCTCTCTCTCTGTATGACTATCATAAATAAATAAATAAAAAATCCATATATAAATGGGATCATATGGTGTTTGTCCTTCTCTGACTTATTTCACTTAGCATAATGTCGTAACGTCCATCCATTTGTTGCAAATGGCAAGATTTATTTTTCTTTCTGTCTGAATAATATTCCACTGTGGTTATCTATCTATGTATCTACGTATCTACCTACCTACATCAGTATATCTATATATATAATACATGATCTCTCTCTATATATATATTTATATAAGTATTATATTATGTTATATATAATAGAGAGATATATAGTAAATGTGAGATATATGTATCATACATTAATGATCTACAGAGAGAGAAAGAGAGAGAGAGAGGCAGAGACACAGTCAGAGAGAGAAGCAGGCTCCATGCAGGGAGCCCAACGTGGGACTCGATCCCGGGTCTCCAGGATCATGCCCTGGGCTGAAGGCGTGCTAAACCCCTGAGCCACCCGGGCTGCCCGGAAGCCCCTGATTTGTTGGTTCCCCCAGTCTAACAATGAATGTGGATTAGGGATTTGGGGATCCCTAGCCAGGTGGGGTAGAGACGCTGCAGGTAGGGGTGTAGCACCCCGTGAAAGTCACCCCGCTGTGTGCCTCTCCCCCCTAGCAAAGGAGTGTGTCTACCAGACTCTTCACAGATCAACACTGCGGATTCCACTCATTCATTCCATGCTTATTGAGCACCTACTAGGTGTTAGATGCTGCTCTGGCCAATCAGGACACGACAGTGACCACGACAAAGATCCAGCTTTGTGGAGTTTACAGTCTAGTGGAAAGGAGACAGACAATAAACAACAAGCATAACGGATTCTTACAGTCATCATAAAGGGATCACTGCTATAGAAAAAAAGAAAATGGGCAGCCCGGGTGGCTCAGAAGTTTAGCACCTGCCTTTGGCCCAGGGTGTGATCCTGGAGACCTGAGATCGAGTCCCACGTCGGGCTCCCCACATGGAGCCTGCTTCTCCCTCTGCCTGTGTCTCTGCCTCTCTCTCTGTGTCTCTCACGAATAAATAAATAAAATCTTAAAAAAAAGAAAGAAAGAAAAGAAAATGAAGAGCAACAATAAAGGGAATCTAAGGGGAAGAGGGTGTTTTTCCCTCCACAGAAACAGAAAAGTCGTAGCTCCCGTGTGTACGATTCCTGTTACGTTCCAGGGGCTTTATCCCCTTGTTCCTACCACTACAATAATGCTGACAAGTAGGTGTTGAACTGGGGCTCAGAGAGGCCAAGGGCCCCACCCAAGGTCACCAGCAGCAAGAGACCCCATGGAACTGAAATTCGGGACTGTCCAGCACCCAAGACAGAAAAACTTCAAGACCCTGCAGTGCCCCATCCACACCCAAACCACCCTTTGGGGCCTAGAGTCCCAGTTGTGCCCACGGATAGGTCCATGAAAGCAGGAGAAGGAGGCCTGTCCTCCCTCCCACATGACACCCCTGTGAAAATCTCTGCCCTGCCCCAGAGGACAGGGTATCATGCACCAGGCTGAAAAAAATCCTAAAGATCAGACTTGGAATCCCGTTGCTGTTGCTTACCGGCTCTGTGCTCTTAAGGCCTTATTTTTTTAAAGGCCTATTAAAAAAAATGACAAATTTGTTGATACTTGTTCATTATGGGTGACAGCTTCACAGACAGTTGTTTAATTATGATCTGTACTTAACTATAATTTTTTTAAAAGATTTATTTATTTGTTAGAGCCCATGTACTCTGGAGGGAGAGGCAGAGAGAGAGTCGTAAGCAGACTCCGCACTGAGCGTGGAGTCCGACAGGAGCTTGATCTCACGACTCTGAGATCACAATCTGAGCCAAATCCAAGAGTCAGACGCATAACCCACTGCACCACTCAGGCGCCCCTTAACTAGAATTTTTTTTTTTCCAAGATTGGGCCTGGGTGGTGGTGCCACCTTGTGGCCACACTGTTATCTTGAATTTAAGAACTTTTCAAAAATTTGTTGTTTTCTTAAGATTTTATTTATTTATTCACTATAGACACACAGAGAGAGGCAGAGACATAGACAGAGGGAGAAACAGGCTCCTCTCAAGGAGCAGGATGCGGGACTCGATCCCTGAATGGGGATCACGACCTGAGCCAAAGGCAGACGCTCAACCACGGAGCCCCCCGGGCGGCCCTCAAGAGTTGTGTGTGCTCCTACGTTTGTCATGTCTGTCATGGAATCATAAAGCCCTAGATTTCCTTAACCTCTCAGGGTAGATAGGGACCTCAGGGATGCTCAGAGGCCTTTGCTTGCTTACTTCTAGCCACGGGGAGCTCCCTCTCTGGAGGAAAAAGCTGATGTCACGATGGGACAGCTGACTCTTCAAAAGTCCTCTGCCCCAGACCTCCAGGCCCACCCGGGATCCGCATTACGGGGATGGAGACACCGCGATCCGGGGAGGCTGTGAGGCCTGCTCAGAGCTGCTGTCGCAGAAGGCGTTGATTAACTGGATAAACTCCCTGAGGTCGGGGATTTGTCTGTTCCGTTCACTGCCGTATCCTCAGCACATAATGGGCTCTCAACAAACATCTGTTCAGTGAATGAATGAACAAAACTATCAGCCACGCCAGCAGCACTTGTGACCCAATCATTCGTTCTCAATCATTACGCTGTCGGGCAGCCCGGGTGGCTCAGCAGCTTGGCACCGCCTTCAGCCCAGGGTGTGATCCTGGAGGCCCGGGATCGGGTCCCACGTCGGGCTCCCTGCGTGGAGCCTGCTTCTCCCTCTGCCTGTGGCTCTGCCTCTCTCTCTGTGCTTCTCATTAATAAATAAATACAATTAAAAAAAAATCATTACGCTGTCAACTGGCATTTTTCTTGTGTGTGTTTTGTTCTGTAATGTAAGCTCCACACCCAACGTGGGGCTTGAACTCAAGATCCTGAGATCAAGAGTCACAGGCTCTCCGAACTGAGCCAGCCAGGTGCCTCAACTGCTGGCATTTTTCAAGGTCTTGCTACCCACCAGGCACTGGGCCAAGCTCCACTTGACCCTTAATTTATGTGAAGCTGCACGGGGACTCCGGGAGTGAGAGAGGTGTGGTCACTGGTCTCCGTTTTGCAGATGGGCAAACCCAACCTCAGGGGGCTTAACTGACCCGGCTCCAGGGTGACACAGCTAGAAGTGGCCCAGCCCGGATCTGAACCCAGGCTGACTGGGGATTCCCAGAGGCTTAGAGCAGGGGAAGAAAACGAGCTGGGGGTCGTAGGCTCCATGCAGGCAAACAAGGGGGGTTAGCTGGTGCTAATTACCGGCCCTTGCAGAGGGGCCTGTGCTGTCAGGTTCCTCCCTCCTAAAGATTTCAGGTCTCTGCTCCCTTGCTGAGGGGCAGCGGGAGCGAGGCTTAGGGGAGGATCTGCAATGTTTTTTCTGGGCTTTCTTGGGGGTGCAGCTTGAGGTTGGCAGAGAGGCAAATCAGAGTCACTACGCCCCATCTGAGGCCCGTTGGCACGCGGGCACAAGTGTCTGGCTCTGCCCACTTGCTGCTCCCGCATCCAATCAGCGGCGCCCTCCTGCCTGGCTCCGTGTCCCCAGTGCCCTGGCCTCTTGGGTCTCAAGCTCCGGCCCGGACTGTTGCAGTCACCACCGCCCGTCTCCAGTCTCCCGGAAACCCAGCTCTGCGCAGGCCCCTCTGGGCTCTGAAAAGTCGGAAGTCTGAACACTGGCTAGCCTTCCAGACGTGCCACCACCACGCCAGCCCACCTTCCTGCTTTCCTCCCAAGGAGACTCTTCATTTCTGTCACCCCTGCCTGGTTCCAAGGCAGGATGCAGGCGGCTCCTGACCAAGAGTCATCCTGCCAACGCGGGGCTTGCTTCTCAGGGGTCCAGCACCGGGCACAGGGCCTCAGGGGGACCTGCATCTGGACCCGGTCTCGGAGTCCCCGGAAGCCCCAGAGCATCTTCTCTGCGCCCTCGGGTCGGGCCTCACCTCCAGGCATGTAGAATGGCCGCGAGGACGACCGGGCCTTGTCCCTACCAGACTGGGGGTCACTGAAGTCTGCAGGCAGGACGTGTCCTCCTCTCCAGCCCAACTCCACGTCAGGGCCCCGGGGGATGGTTATGTCCGCACAACTGCAGGGGGCGCCGTCCACCTGCCCAACAGCGCAGAGCCGCCCCGAGGGGACGCGGTGTCCCGAGGAAGTCATGCGTGCGGTACACAACCGAGCCACCAGAGGGCCCCTAGATTAGAAATGTGGGTGCCGCTGCTTGCGGGCCCAGGCACAGCAGCACTCCGGCAGCATAACATAAACGGGTTTCGGCGCAAAAGGATTTTCCAGATTCGAAATAATACATGCGAATTGCCTGGTAGTGGTGTTCACAGCCCTGGGCGTGAGGAAGAAAGCGTCGAGGCCCTCAGCCACCCCACAGGCCCTGCTGTTCTCAATGATGGAGAATTCGGGGGGACCAAATGGGATGGGGGTAACGATCCCCAACCCACAGGTCATTGTGAGGCGGTCTGGCACCCACCTGGCACAGAGTAGGAGGTGGACAAGTGACAACCGCTAAGGCGATCCCGACAGCAGTGACCAGGCCTGGGCTCGAGGCCTGAGGCTGCCGTCGTCAACCGCATGGCCCTGGACAGAGGATCACCGCTGGCCACTTCAGATGCTTTCTCTGTACGGTGCAGGCAATATCCGCATCACAGGCCGGTGCTGAGGACTGAGTGCGTTCCTCTGTGTAAAGTACTTAGCACAGCACCCCACTTGTATATTCATCTATAACCACCGGTTTTGTCTCTTTCCCCTTTTTCTGGGCCAGGCTAGACTGGGGTCTAGAGAAAGGCTGATGCTGAGTCACTGTGAGGGGGAAGAGACAGCATGAGGCAGGCCCAAGGGGACCAGGGGTGAAGGTTGGAAGTGCCTGGTCTGGAGGCCCACCCAAGGTGTCTATACAAGGCCAGAAATGGGTGCCCAGGGAAAGAGGTGGGAGCCAGGGAGGCAGGAGCCTCGGGCGCACCACACAGGAGGGGCGTGTGAGGAGCGCCAGGCCGCAGGGCGGGCTGCCGGGGGGCTTGCTGTGCAGCCGGACCCCCTCCCCGTGGCCCCGCTGGGGGACCCTGGGTCAGCAGAGCCACCCAGTGAGGAAGAGAACACAAGCATTGAACGAATTTATTCATGAGAAAACTCAGGGAAACAATCTACTCGTTACAAGCTCCAGAAGCTCTTGTCGGAACAGCCGTGAGGACGGGCCGGGGCACCCCCGGGACAGGGGGCTGGGGGAGCTGACGGCGCCCTGGGGACAGAGGAGCAGACTCGCCCGCCCTATCCCCAGGACCCCAGTCCCCCTCTGGGTTAAAGTGCAGCTGGGAGGGAGGTGACGGGTGGAACTGGGTGCCGGAGAGCTGTGGGGACACAGGCCGCCAGGAGCCCTCCCCCCTCCTCTTCCTCATTTCTTGAGGCTCAGCCAGGGTCCATCCCACCCGGGGCCCTCCCTGGAGCCTCCACACCAGTCAGATATTTAGGAAGAGCTCCCCAGGAGGGGAAGGCTGGCTCCATCAGCTTTCTGTGGGGTCCAATTTGGGGGGGCAGTGGGAGGCACTAGCATCTGGGATGGGGAGGGGTACTCGAGAGATGCTCTGGGAGTCCTCCCCTCCCCCCCAGCCCAAGTAGGCTCCTCCCTGGCCTTCCTCCACCCCCTAGAAAGCCAAGGAAGCCGGAGAGGCCCCGAGAGCCTGGCTCCAGGCTGCAGGGCCATGAGTCAGAAGGGTCCTGCCCAGACCTGACTCCTGAGCACGCCATCGAGGGAGGGCCACTTCGGTGCCACTGGGGAGAGGCTGCCCTGGGGATGGGAGGCTTTGGGGGAGGCCTATGGGGCTAGAGCTTTGGCCAGGGGTCTTCCTGGCCGGGACCCAGCCCCTCCCTCAAGGCTGCTGCGGACAAGGTGGCCGCCCTTAGCTCAGGGCCCCCCACCCCCACTCCACCCTCTGCACCCCAGGGGCCCTGCCCCACCGGGGGCTGTGAGGACCTGATGCCCACCTCAGCAGCTTAGCCAACCTCCCCCCGACCCAAGGCACATCTCTAGGAGGCAGAAAGGAAGAGAACCGCCCCCACTCCGAAAAAGAACCCTGAAGACCTCCGCTACCTCCCCTCACTCTTGAATATATTAAATTGTGCGGCTTGGCCCCGACCCCGCCCTTCAGATCTCCATGGCAACCGGAAAGCATTCCAAGTCCAAGTCTGAATCTGAGTCCATCCAGTGCCAAAGGGGGGCTTCGGCCTTCCTCCCCACCGCTCCCCCACGGGTGAGACCCAGCATTCCACAGGGGACGAGAGGGGAGGAAGGGCTGGGGCCTCAGTCCTCGGCCCCCTCTTCCTCCGCGTGGGGGGCCCCGGGGGGATCCTCGGGCTCAGGGGTCTGCCCTCCAGGGTGAGGGTGGGGACGGGGGCCCGGCTGGGAGCCTGGCGCATCCTCGCCCTGCACGTAGACGCTCAGCCCGTGACTGGGCTCCTTGCCGCACGCCTGGCAGCTGCAATGCAGGATCTTCTCCACCAGCTTGTCCACCCTGGGCACCTCCTCGTGGCCGGGGCACTCCAAGGTCACCTGCAGACGACGGAACAGAAGGGAAGACCTGTTTCCCAGAGATTCCAGAGATCCCAGAATGCCTGAGCCAGGACAGGGGGTACCCCAGGTAGCTCTGTGGCCCGTCGCAGGGAGGAGGGTGAGCATCTGCAGGAGCCACCCGGCGTGTCTCCTCACATCCAGTCCCGCCACCTCCCTACCCGTCCCCTCACAGCAGCCTGACGCAGGATATCCAACGTGGCCTGCCCCCGCCTACAGTTCCCCTCGGTGCTCCCCACTGCACTCGAAGAAGAATCTAGACTCCTTACTAAGACCTCCCAGGACCTCCGGGCTGCCTCTGGCAAATCCTGGTGCCACTGCCACCAACTCTGAGCTGCTCGACCTGCCTGAGGCTTTGCACATGCTGTTCCCTCTGCCTGGAAGGCCCTCACCTAACACAACCCCGACCACCTGTCCCAAACTGGCCAGGTAACTCTGGGCCCAGAGATCCCAACCCCAAACCTGCAGCCCAGCCTAGGTCTGCCCCACTGACCCCATCAGCACCTTGTGCGTCCCCTAATGCCACACTCTTCCCACAGCTCTTCCTGTTCCCTGTCCTTCCTTCCTTTTCTCTCCGTCTTTCCTTCCACAGAGCACCCACTCCCTTCCCAGCTCTGGGGACACAAGGATGGGCATGGTGGCTCAAAGAATTCAGAGTCTAGCTGGGGGAACAGACTTGTCAAAAATCACGGCAATGCAGGTGGAAAACTGTTGACAGGACAGATGTCAAAGCAGAGGCACACAGTGTTCAGGGGAAGGGAAGGGCCCTGAGAATGACGCTGAGCCAAGGGCAGAAGACTGAACAGACGTTAACTGAGGGAGGAGGAGAAGAAAGGTATCCCAGGCAGGGGAAAGAGCATGTGCAAAGGCCCCGTGGTGGCAGCAAGCACAGCACGTACGAGAGTTGGAAAGAATGTCAAGTGTCAAGAAAGTTAAAAAAAAAGCTGAGAGACGCGAGACAAAGCTCAAGGGATTGGTGAGCCAGGCCATGCTGGGCACCATGGGACACGGCAAGGATTTTGGTCTCATCTAAGACAATGGGAAACCACTGCAGGGATTTCATCACGTGACTGACATCAGGATGGAGCTTCAGGAGGAGCTCTGGTCCTGTACACACCGGTGTCACACTCCTAAGCCATCACGGGGCAAGGACCACGACCGTACCCCGCCCCCTGCACAAGCCCCGGACCCGCACACGGGGGGTCTGACTAGTGAACCCCGCGGCCAAGGCCAGGGCTCTGGGCGGAGGCTGGGCAGGGGCGGGCGGCAGTACTCACGATCTCCCACATGGACTGGGCCGGCATGCAGGAGTCACAGTGAACCAGGGACTCTGTAGACTGTGGGAAGGTGTTGGGAACGCTGTAGCTGAAGCACTGTCCTAGGCACGCCCTGTGGGGGGAGAGGTCACTGTCCCCCGGACACCGAGGCGGAGGCAGGGATGGGCAGCCCGGTCCTCCGCCTCCCTCCTGGCCCCTGTCCTCAGCCCCTCCGCCCGCAGCCCCTGCGCCCACCTGTTCTGGATGGACTTGGCCTCACAGCCGCTGTGGCCCACGATCTGGGTGATGTTCTTGGCCTCACACCAGGCGCTCTTGTCCGGGAACAGTGCCAGCTTGTTGATGGGCGGTGGAGCGGCCAGCAGCATCGCGGGGAGGACGGCCCCGACCAGGACCCGAAGCATCGTGCCCGCGGCCTCTAGAGCCCTAGAACTGAGCGGAGACTGCGAGTGAGGCCAGCGGGGCCCAGGGGGCTGTGGATGGGGGGCCGGTGGGGAGACACCCGACTGCCCGGGTTCCAATCCTCGCTCTACTACCTACCAGCGAAGCACAACCTGGGACAAGTTATTTCTCCTTTCTGAACCTGGACAGTGAGGCTGCTAACCCAGGGGCCTGGGGAGGGCATCACCTCGGTCACACGACAGCCCTCGGCGGGGTCACCGTTACAACCAACTGTGCGGTTTTGAGCAAGTTAACATTTTATGTCTGGGCCTTGGTTTCTTTGTCTAAGAAATGGGGATGGTGAGCGGGGATGGCAGGGGACTGTGATGCTGGGGGACCTCCGGGCAACACAAAAGCTAGCCACCCAGCGCGTCCCCTGGGCATGCTGCCCAAGTGTCGGCCACCAGGAAAGCTGACCTTGGCCGGCCCCCACGGCGACTTCGTGCGCCACCTCCGCTGGCTGGGCGTCAGGTGAAAAAGCTAACTCTGGACCAGGCTGTTTCTTTTTTGGTTTTTTGTTTCTGTTTTTTTTTTAAGATTTTATTTATTTATTCATGAGAGACACAGAGAGAGAGGCAGAGACACAGGCAGAGGGAGAAGCAGGCTCCATGCAGGGAGCCTGATGCAGGACTCGATCCCGGGACTCCAGGATCACGCCCTGGGCGGAAGGCAGGCGCCCATCCGCTAAGCCACCCAGGCGTCCCAGGCTATTTCTTTTCTGGATTCCCCACCAGAGCTTCAAGCCCTGCGTCTACACACACACACCCCCACCTCTGCCAGGTCCAACCCAACCACGCAGACCAGCCCCGCGCTTGACCCGGTCAACGGATGGGAGACGCTAAAGCAGAATCGGCCAGAAGGTGGCGCTGCAGGGCAGCGTGTGTGCAAAGCGCTGCTGAGCGCGGGGGGGGGGGGGGGGGGGGGGGCTCTCCCAGTGTGCCCCAGCTTCACCCTCTCCCCTACCTCCAAACAGTGGAGGAGGGAGGCGTCAGGGCATCTTGGAAACGAAGGCAGGGCCTGCAAGGGGGTCCTCTAGGGACAGGGCACGGGAAAGGGCGCTGGACTGGGAGCCAGCAGGCCACACCTGCTGTGCGACCCTGGGCACCAGGCCTAGGTGTCCCTGCCTCTGAAAGGAGCGAGGCGCCCTGACCGCTGGTTTCCAAACCCAGCAGGCCATGCAAGCCCCCTGGGGACTTGCGGAGTGAAGGTCCTGGGTGGAGCGGGAGTGGGCATGGCTAGCGAGCTTCCAAGGTGTGAGAACTGGTCCCGCTCAGCCAGGGATTCCGGGGTTTGGGACAGTCCCAAGAGGGGCCCGGGCATGGCTGAACCGGGATCAGGGCCCGGGGCTGTCCCACAGATGCCCAGCCCCAGGGTGGGAGCGTGGTCCTACCCTCAGCCCACCTCCTTGGTGAAGCGTCCAGGAAGCGGGGGGTCTTGCCCCTTCCTACAGGGAACCCCAGGTGGGTGGCTCAGCTGGGCTTGCAGGGTGGGGGGGGCCAGCCTGCAGGGCTGTCACCACGTCTGTCCGGCAGCCCCGCGCTCTCCACCCAGAAAGTCTGCTCAGCTCCATCTCCCTGCAGAGACCAGTCTCCTCTGGTCCCAGCCAGCGGGGAGGGGCGACAGGGGAGAGGAGGGGAGTCGGGTCGGTGTGCCCCGTCCCGCCTGCGTCTGTGTCACGACCCTGGCTCTCACCCCCAGGTTTCCGGTCTCGCTCACCAGACAGCCGGCAAAGCCCACGGTTTAAGTCCAACCACATCCTAACAAAATACAATGGACTCCTTCCCAACTGGCAACCTAACTGATTTTTCAACAAGCCGGGCGTCCAGGAGGCTTCCTGACCCCACTGGCCCTCCTCCGTCCGTGCCCAGGGGGTGAGGCTCTGAGTCCACAGCACCCCACGAGGGTCCCTGCAGGCACCCCCCGCCCAGGCCAGAGCTCCCGGGGTCTCCCCAGGCTGGACGGGCCCCTCAGAGACCTCAGCCAGCCCTGGGGACTCTGTCCACCCGATGGACAGGGCAGGAAGATCAGGCCTGGGTCTGGAGGTGACGGGCCAGGAGCAAGTTCACGGGGAGTAGCCTGCAGCCCAGGCGGGTCTGCTTTGCACCTGAGCTGGGGGTGGGGGGGGGCGGGGATGGCAGCCACAGGCCAGGATCAGGCTAAGGGGGCAGCGCGGGGGCTGCGGGGGGTGCTGGGGTTAATAACAGGCTTACTGAGACAGGGCAGGGTAGGTTTTTAGGGGAGACACAGGCCTGGAGCACGGGGACTGGTTATTAGGGTCAGGTTCTAGCCATAGGGCATCTGCCTCTCCAGCAAGCAGCCCAGGGCTAATCTAGCGGTGCCCACGGTGGTGGGGAAGGGGGGCAGGGGCTGCAAGCCAACCCGCCAGGCCCGGCCAGGCCCTCAGAGGGGGCCGGAGCCACAGTCTGCTTGTCCAGGCCAGCTGCCCTGACTTCCAGCCAACTGCCCTGCTTGTGCCACAAGCAGGGCGCCCCCCCGCCCCCCCCCCCCCCCCCCGTCCCCTGGGCCCTCCCACCTGGGAGCCGTGTGACTTCCAGAAACAAAGCTCAGCTCCCTGCCCCTACTTGCCTCAACCATAGGATGGGGAGCACCACCACACCGCTGGGGAGGACAGCTGGGAGGATGCAATCAGCAGGCACCCAGCCCTGGCCAGGCCTTGTCCCCTGGGAGAGTGTGGGGAAAGCGAGGCAGGCCTCAGACCCCTGGTGCTGGAGCAGGAGGCAGGGGGGACCTGGGCAAGTCTCTCCTACACACGCATGCCATGGGGATGCACCCACGTTCCGCCCACCCTCACACCCACCCCCCAAGAATCCCTGCTGCCCCCCTCGCACCCGGGTGGGCTCTCTGCTAGCAGGTTTTCTTCTTTGCTGGTTTATGTTTTGTTTTTTGTTTTTTTCAAGCAGCAACTTAGCTAATTTTTTTAGACAGCAGTGGGACCTTCCTTCCAGAACAAGAGCCTCACCCAGAGATTCTCATCTCTTCCTCCCTCCCTGAAGGTCACACCACAAATCACGGGACTCCTAGAAGGCCAGGGTGGGAAGAGGGTTCCCCCCAGGCCCACCCCCCTTGCCTTGCAAAGGGGTCAGCCCCAAACACCCCCCCACACAGACACACACACCCCGGCAAGTCAGGCCAAGCAATGCTCTTCCCTGAGGCATGCGGGGTCCCCGCAGTGTGTCGCTCAGTCCACTGAGCACCTTCTAGACGGTGGAGGAGACAGTGGAGGGTGAGGCAGGGCAACTGGGGGCCCAGACCCTATGCCCCCTCAGAGCCAGAGCCTGGCCCGGGAGGTCCAGGGAGGAGTTGTGCAGGTGGGCAGTCGGGGCGGCTGGGCCCGAGGGAGGAGAGATCCTTAACTCTGGACTTAAGTCAGGATTAGAGTGAGCTACCAGCGATGGGGCGAGGAGGGCGCTCCCGGCTGAGGGCACCGCAGGGGCAACGGCAACGAGAGGGGCTTCAAGGCTGAGAGCCCCGCGCACGCCGGCCCGTCTCACGGGCGCAGGAGCCGCCGCGGACTGTGGACAGGGCACTGCTCTGGGCTCTCACACGTACGCGTTCCCGCGTCCTGACACCCCCCAAGAGCTAGACACTGCTATGCCCCCCATTCTACAGATGGGAGAAACCGAGGCACAGGGAGCTTAAGAGATAGGCTCAAGCTGACAAAGTGAAGGTTGACGACACCAGGATTTGAACACGGACAGTAATAAGGTAAAGCACCGGCCACAGAGGAAGAGAAGGCGCCCAGGGAACCCAGGGAATGGTCCGGAGGCAGACGCCCTACGGCTAGAACCCGACCCTAATAACCAGTCCCCGTGCTCCAGGCCTCTGTCTCCCCTAATGGTCCGGAGTTGGCGAGAGACCCGGGGCCCCCTGCCCCTGCCCAGCGGGCTGTGTCTCTCATCCTGACTCGCACAACTGGGGAGCAGAATTCAAGTCCCGCTCCCGGCTCCCCCGCCCACCAGATCCCCCCAGTGACAGCGTCCAGCCGGGCCAACCCCTGGCTCCTGGGAGCCTCCGAGTCGCGGCGCGGTTCCATCGGGGTGTCGTCAGCCCGGGGTGGCTGCCTTCTCACCGCCCTACTGCCGCTCCCAAATCCAAGCCCCCCAGATCCTCAGGGGCCTTGTGCCAACAGCAGGCACATCCTGAGGCTGCCAACAACACAGAAAGGAAGTCCCCTGGGCGGATGGAGGGGACGCTGGCTGGTGGAGACGGGGACAGCACCCAGCTCTCTCACACTGGGGACGAGAGGGCAGTGGGCAAACACGGGAGAGCCACTGGAGGGCTGTCTCCGGCTCCTTGGTTCAGAAGGTCCCCAGGAGGGGCGGGGGCAGTCGCAAGAATGGGCTTCCCGGTTGGGCCCTGGGGTCCTCTCTGTTTCCACACCTCCCAGAATCTAGCATCTTCCCGGAGATGCTCTGCTCGTCAATACCCAGAGGCCCGGGCCCCAGCCCTGGAGGTTCTGACCCCACAGGTCCAGGGTGTGGCCTGAGCACCAACAAGTGCTCCCACATGATTCTGAGGCCCAGCCAGGTTAGGAGCTAGGACTCCCCAAACTCCCCAGGGAAGGGAGCCCCACAGCCTGACGCCTGGATTCCAGGGCCTGGAATGAAGTCCTCGCGTCACTGGAGGGGCCCAGGTTTCAAGGGAGACCTCCAGGCCACCCTCTGCCTCGGTGAAACCCTTTGTAGAGCAGAGTCCATTTTGCATAAAAAGTGAATCACTGCCCATTTCCTCGTTGGGGTAAATCTGAATATTCGGGCCATGTAAATCAGGATCTTCTCCGTAGCATGGTCTACTCCCCACCATTCACACATACCACCACCGGCCTGGTGTCACTGTTCCCAGCAACGAGCCAGGTGTGGAAGCAGGTGAGGGCAGGGCTAGCAAATCCCTGGTGGCAAAGGAAGCCTCTCCTCTGCTTCCGGTACCTCTCCTGGGCACCTTTCCCACATAGGACCCCTCCCCCCGCCCAG